TGATCTTATAAGAAACTTTAAACCCATAAAGAAAATTTTAATTTACCATTTCTGGAAATAGCACATGTCAAACTTATATCTACCATTTTGTTCTATTTGGTATACTCTTTCTCCCACAGAACTTATTTTGGGGTGATGGGGGGCTTGTTAGGACACATACAGCTGTGCTCAGAAGCTGTTCTTGCTCAGGGATCACTCCTGCAGTGCTCAAAGGACCATCTGTGGTGCTGAGGAGTCAACCAGGATTGGCTGTGTGCAAGGCAAGGTTCTTGCCTCCTATACTACCCCTCGAGTTGCCACAGAGTTGGTTTTTTTTAACATTTTTTTTTTACATTCATGTCTATTGACATTATTCTAGCTTATTATTTAAAAATACCTCTATTTTTGCTTAGTTTTGTGTGGTCCTTTCATCGTACATTTACTTCTTGATTGGTCACTTTTTTCTTCGCAGTTTAATGCCATTCCATTGTCTCTTTGGCTTATTTAGATTCTGATGAGATGTCAGAGATGATTCTTATCATTGTTCCTTTGCATGCAAGATCAATTTTCTTTGTTTTTAAGATTTTATCTATGTCTGGTTTTGACAATTTTATTATCATGAGTCTTGCCATGATTTTCTTTGTGTTTATCTTGAGTGTGGTTTATTGGGTTTCTTGGAACTGTGGATTTATAATTATAATTACATTTGGATTATTTTCAGCAGTATTACGTCAGCTACTTTTTCTGCTCCTTCTCTCCCTTCTCTCCTTCTGTCACTTCAATCACATGTATTTGTGACTTGATATTGTCCTTTAGGTTGTTGGGGTTCCATTTTCTTTTTGTAATCTTTCCCCATGTGTCATTTTTAATAGTTTAGATCACATTCTTTGCTCTTTCTTTTTTCTTTTTTTTTGATTTTGGGCAACAGCTGGCTGTGCTCAGAAATTATTCCTGACTCTGCATTCAGGAATCACTCCTGACAATGCTGAGGAGGTTGGGAAGAAATACAGGGTGTAAGGGATCAAAATGGGGGTCAGCCACATGCAAGGGAAATGCCTTAACCCCTGTACTATCTCTCTGGCCATATTATCTTATTTTACTCAATAGTTTAATCTGTCCAGTTAATCCAGTGAACATTTTATTCAGATTTTGCATTTTTTTGGCTTTATAAGGTTGCATTTGGTTTTACATATATCATCTTCTTTGTCCTCATTCTAGTTTGGGTCTCAATACACTGTAGCATTGTCCTCCCATTGTTCAATGATTTGCTCCAGTGGGCTCAGTAATGTGAGACTTGTTGTTACTATATTTGGCATATGAATACATCACGGGTAGCTTGCCAGGCTTTGCCGAGCGGGCAAGATACTCTCAGAAGCTTGCTGGGCTCTCTGAGAGGGGCGGAGGAATCAAACCCAGCTCGGCCGGGCTGGCTGTGTGCAAGGCAAATGCCCTACCGCTGTGCTATCATTCCACCCTCCTTCTACTCCTTCAAGTTATGCTTTCTTTTATACGTTTAGCACATTTATACTGATCTTTTTATTTTATTTATTTATTTATTGCTTTTTGGGTCACACCCGGTGATGCACAGGGGTTACTCCTGGCTCTTCACTCAGAAATTACTCTTGGCAGTGCTCAGGAGACCATATGGGATGCTGGGAATCGAACCTGGGTCGGCCGTGTGCAAGGCAAACACCCTACACGCTGTGCTATTGCTCCAGCCCCTATAATGATCTTTTTAATCTTTTTAATTTTTTTTTTTTTTGCTTTTGTAATCATACCCAGCGATGCATAGGGGTTACTCCTGGCTCATGCACTCAGGAATTACTCCTGGTGGTTCTAGGGGAACATATGGGACACTGGGAATCAAACCCCGGTCTGCTGGGTGCAAGGCAAACACCCTTCCCACTGTGCTATTGCTCCAGGCCCAATGATCTTTTTTTTTCTTTTTGGGTCACACCTGGCGATGTACAGAGGTTACTCCTGGCTGTGCACTCAGGAATTACTCCTGGCATTGCTCAAGAGACCATATGGAATGCTGGGAATCGAACCTGGGTAGACCACATGCAAGGCAAACATTCTACCCGCTGTGCTATCGCTCCAACCCACCCCCCATGATCTTTTTTTAAAAATTATTATCTATTAATTCTATCACTTCTGTTATTTCTGAGTCTGCTTTTATTAGTTGACTTTTCTTTTATTATCAGACCCATTGTCCTACCTTTTTGCATTCTAGTTGTTTAATGGCTGACTATTACATTTTATTTTGATTTGCTTTCTTCATCTAAAAACATGTTAGCTACGCAGTAAAGAACATTTGGGAGACAGTAAAGTAGTTGCATTTTTGTGCATTTCTAAGCTGATTTTATTAATTAGTCAGGCTTGTTTTTACAAATATTCAGGTAAACCTGGCACAATCTTTGCTAATTTATCTGAGGTTAATTTATCTCTATCACTCCAAGTGGATTTCTGCTATCGTCTCTACCAGTGTGTTCAATATCTATTCTATCCTGACTGGGTAAGACCGGACTATTCCCCAGGTCTATAAAAATCAACAGATTATTTAGTCTGAAGACTACCTTCAGCCGTTGGCACAACTCATGCACTTTCTTTCTGTGTGTCGTCTCTGGCTGACTAGGAACAATATGATCATTTCTGAATGAGCTCTTTTCCTGTGTAGCTCCCTCCTCTCTAGTGTCCTGTTTGGGTCTGCACATTCCAACTACCTCAGCCCTCTCATACTCATGCTCTGTCTTTCCAATGCAGTGACTCTTCTGTCCTCTATCTTCATGTTCTTTCTACTTAGAGTCTAGAAAGTGGCTCTAGGGAGGTGATTATGGGCATCACCTCATTTCTTCTCTTCTCTTCTCAGTTGCCTATTTTCCCTGCCTGCTGCCCTTCATATTTTTTGTCCTAACTTCAAGAGCTCTGATAGATCAATCCCAGAATCAGTTGCTTCATTATAGTCCAAGTAGAATGATGCAGCCAGGTGCCGTGGGTAGCTCAGCTCAGCTCCTCCCAGAATCTCCTTTATACAGACAATGCATTTGTCATATCATTCCTGCTTTTGTTTTGTTTTTGTGTCATACTGGCAGTTCTCCGTGATTACTCCTGGCTCTGCACTCAGAAATCATTTCTGGGAGGCTCAGAGGACCACATGGTGTGCCAGGGATTGAACATGGGTCAGCTGTGTGCAAGGCAAAGGCCTTACCTGCTGAACCTTGCACCTCTCATACCCACTTTTACTACATATTAGTAATATTTTAGGTCTTACATGTTATTTGGTATAATGAGGCAGTTGAGGTCTGGGAACACTCAAAATTTTTTCCATGTAAATTAATGGTAATTGCATCTTTACTTTATGCCAGTTTGGCTTTGGAAAATTCTCACAAGAATGCACTATTTTCAGTTGGGGGCAGGGAATCTGGTATTCTGGTATTGTTCATTTGGACCAATAATAATGATGAAGTATTACCCAATGCTGACAATATTTATGAAATCAACCACAACAAACCAGGCCCCATGCTAGGTTCTTCACATTGATTATCTTTCTCCTTCCCAACAATTCTGTGTTTGTAGTCCTGATCCCTAAAACTCAGGGAGATGAAATCTGTTCCTTCAAACTCACACTATAGGAAGGTGGGAAGTGAGACACAATCATGCCTTCATGTGTTATGATGCTGTTTTCGGAATCCATCTTTACCTGAGTTTTCCCATCTGGCAAATCAAAGTGGAAAACAGTTAACTCCCTCCCCAGAGAAGCTGTGTTATTAGAGAGACATTTTGCGTTGCTTTGCATCAGAGAGAGAGCAGCATATGTAAATGTGTGCTCCTGGAGGTGAAAATTGCCCTTATTTTGAAAAACTTGGCCTCTCCCACTGGGGCGAATAGCTGAAAATTATGGGGAGGGAAAAGCAGGCTGGAGAGAATGTTCGTGGACTTGGAATTGCTTCTCAATCTCCCTCCCCACCCAATACATTTCTATTCAGATTTAAGTGGCACAACCAGGAGAGTCAAGATTAGCCAATGGCAGGGTCCTAGCTGGCTTTGATAGTGGGTGTCCTGCAGGGGTGAAGGCAGATATTAATCATTAACTCTGCATCAGGTTGATATGTTGGGGCAGATGTTCTTGCTGCGAAGAACAGAAGCCTCCCATGGCACCTTGAAGACTTTGTCACACATGGGCCACCACGAGATCACAAAGGATTCCTAGTTAACGTGGGCACCTTGCCACCTCTCCCCACCTTCCTCTTGTTCCAAGTTGGCATCTCCCCTGCCCCTGGCCTCCCCGTGGGCCCTGCACTGTTGAGTTTCTCTATCTTCAATGGCCTTTCCTGGCATTTGAATCATCACTTCCATGATGTGATAATATCTGCAAGTTGGGAAAATAAAAGTGGCATTTGTTTAGCCATAATTAATGAAATATTTATGTTGCATGAGACTATGTGATAAAACCTTAAGCTTAGAGTCCTTTTGCTTCTGATTACATTTGGGATTTTTTTTTCTATGACCAGACATTCTGACGCCAGCTCTTTTACACTGAGCAGATGTCATGTAGTAAAAATGGGTGCCAGATGCTGTGAGCCGCAGAAGGGCAATTTGTTTAAGAGCTGGCTTGGACTTTTTTTTGCATTCAATTACTCCACAGAACGAACCTTACACAAGCATTTAGGTAACTTTGCTAACTCCAGGCAGGCATTTTAATAATAGATTTCATCTCTGAATGCATTCTAAACAACACACCATATAAATGGTGTTTAAGGAATTAATTGATTTCTGCATAATACCTTTTTTTTTTTAATTTGAAAAGAGAGCTACAAAGCTCTTGGCAGCAACCCAGAAATGTAATTAACGTGGTGGGCCAAATTTTCAGTTGCCCTTAGGTACTGCCTCCTCAAGCTCGTGGCAGGTGCAGTGAGGAGTGGGCAGGAGATGGGGGGGGGCAGAGAGGAGGGGCTGGTGGCTTCGGGTCAAGACACAGGGAAGGAATTTAGGAGGTCACTGGGATTTCTTTCCCACTCCAGGTCCCCAGCTCCTCTCCAGCAACAAGCCTGAGGCAGAGACTCTCTCCTCCATGTCCTCCACCGCCTCCTCCTCAGCGGATGAAGAATCCAATCCTCTGTCTTCTTTGCAGTCAAAGGTAACAGCTCTTGGCAAACCCAATGGGGCCTTGGCTTGCGCAGACCATTTACCCTCCAGATTGCAGCGCCAATGTGGACTCCAGCTGCGGTGGTTTCATTAGCAGGCTCGCGTGTCATTGCATCTGACAGCAGCCGCGCTCTTTACCTGGAACACCCCAAGAATTATCTTTTCCCCCTTTTAAAACTCTAGCAGCTTTCCTTTCTCAGAGGCTCAAATTGGGATAGGAGGTATGTGGGGGGGGGGGGGGCGGGGGGGAGTGGAAGGGATGCAAAACTAACGCCGGACATATTTCCTTGAAACCATTTGGTGACTGCCACTCTGAAAGTGGATTTGGACTATGGTTCAACAAGCAAACCCTCGAAAAAATGACAACCAGCAAAGGCACATGTCCCCGGGGGGAAGCACAGCTTCATCGAAGAAGCACTCATGGCAGATTGCATGGGAAATGTTATGTTTATTCTAATAAGAAATATGAAATGAACTATGCAGCACCATTGATGTGGGGTGCTCCGACAAGCCCCACAGAGGCAAAGTTCATGGGGTGCCGGTTCCCCTGGGTGAGAATGTCCTCCTCCTTGCGTTAGGGGAGCATCAGTGTTCCCGCCTGGTGACTTCCAGCAGCTCCATGTCCGGAAAGGGAGAAACACAGAGAAGGGGCTAGAGATAGTACTCTGATTAGGGCACATGTCCGATCTGGGTTCAATCCCTAGCACCACACTGTCCCCCCAAGCATCGTTGGGGGCAGCCCAGGAGGCCCCCAACATCCCTAAGGGGTCCTGGGGGTCCTCGGCACTACAGGCCCTGAGCAACTTCACATTCCTGTACCCTTGTGCTAAACTGACAGCTCGATTGGCCCAGAATCTCCAGTGCAGCCTCTGAACCACTTAAGCACTTCCTAGGAGCACCCCCCCTACACACACACATACACACCCCAACAAGGGGAAATAAAAACCTAGGTCTGTGTCTTTAAATATGTCTGTTGGTTGCACAGAGAAATGCATCCCGGGAACAAACCAAACTGTTGTTTTTTTTACCCACTGGGGCTGGAGAATTTTCACTGGAGTGGGGGTAGGGGTGGGCTGAATGGCTGGACAGAAAATGCTGCCCCAGGGGATGGAGAAGCAGCTCCCTGCTCTGGCAGTGTTTATTTTTTGGAGCAGAGAGGATCTGAGGAGCAAGGGAGAGAACCAAATGTATTTACTTAGACTCAACTTTTCCATATCTGGCATTAGGAGCTTTGGCGGCATCTCAAGTCGCTCAGGGGTTCCAGCTCCCCAAGGCTGGGCTTGGAGCAAGTCAGCAGGGGCTGGGTACAGTGTGTGTGTGTGTGTGTGTGTGTGTGAGAGAGAGAGAGAGAGAGAGAGAGAGAGAGAGACTATATATATGAATTTCTCCTGTTTAACTGTGGGGCATCTCTGATGAGTTGGTATTCCATGTAGATGAGTTCTGTGTGCTGTGTTGATATTTGAGGTTTTCCCACTACTCTTCTCAGCCTCTTAAGTGTCCCTAAGTTAATTTTGTACTGGAACAAGGCAGAGGCTCCAGACCAGCCATTATCCCCCACTCCAGGAGACTCAGAGTGGAGCAGCACGGATACCTGGATGGACCCTGACCTGGGGCCCAGGGTGAGCCTTGCCAACAGATCTTGTCCTTCCCCTGGCCCCAGCAGAGCCCCTGATGACTAAGGCTGCCCTACAGGAAAGATTGCCCATTCTCCTGGCTTCCGACAGGAGGGGAAACTGCAAAAGGGTCACTTCCTGAGGACTCACCTTTCTATAACAAGGGAAGACTTTTTCTTCTCTTTTTTTAAAAAATTCTGCCTGGTGCAAGTATGTCCGTGCCACGGGACTCAGAGCTTGCGTTGGCCCTAGTGAATGTTTGCACAGGAAGCTGGAAGTTAGTTTTGCACCCCCCCCCCCCCATGCCACTGTGTGTCTGAGACATTCTACCAGAAGCTGGCCTGCCTTTCTCCCCTTCTTTCTTTCTCGGTCCCTGACCATTTTGTTCTTTCAAATGGATTTTTTAAATGTGAGGCCAAGGGCGGGACCATACCCAACTGTGCTCAGGGGCACTCCTGACTCTGTGCTCAGGGATCACTCCTAGTGATACTCAGGAATCGTATGTATGCCAGGGAGTGAACTGGGGCCAACCACATGCGACGCAAATGCTTTACTCTCTCTAATCTCTCTCTCTCTCTCCAGACCTAATCCTTGAACTTTTCCTCTCTAAACCCTAAGCCTCCCTTCTCTCCTCCCCTCCCCCATTCTCCTCTCCACTCCTCTCCTCTCCTTTTTTCTCTTCTCTCTTCCCCACTCCATCCCATCCATCATCACCATCATTGAGGCTCTAAGAATAATATCTGGTACATCAGAAGGTGGCTGGAGCGATAGCACAGCAGGTAGGGTGTTCGCCTTACACGCGGCCAACATGGCCGACCCGAGTTCGATTCCTCCGCCCCTCTCGGAGAGCCCGGCAAGCTACCGAGAGTGTTCGATATGCCAGACACAGTAACAACAAAGTCTCCAATGGAGACGTTACTGGGCCCGCTCGAGCAAATCGACGATCAACGGGAGGGCCTTTACCTTTACCTTTTTACATCAGAAGGCGATCAGTAATGAGCTAATACATCCTCCTTCTCTTTCATATCCACATCCTTTAAGAAAGGCAGTAGTGACTTTCTTTGCTTTAGGGTCTGTTTGGCTCACCCATGATAAAGCACTTTAGGTTGGTGGCTTTGCTGCTGGCTAGTGTTCAGAGTGAGTGAAGCTGTGGAGACCTCTGCCCTTGACCTTATATTAGATGGCCTACCTTTAGGGGGAGGCTTTGTGTTTTCTATAAATCAGGGCATGGCACAAGGAAAACAGGAGTGGGGAAAGTGGCTAATGAATTCAGCTCACCTGGGCTTAGCTGCTGGCTCTCTAAGTGGCATCCTCTGGGGCAAGGTATTCAACTATCTGAATTTTGATTTTCCTTCGGAATGTAAGTGTGATGATACACAGGAAGTAATCAGAAGTGTGCCAGTACCTAGCACAAAATAAATGCTGGGATTGATTATGCAGATTAGCATAGTGGAAGCATAAGGTATTAGGGCCGGGCAGATGGCTCAAAGGCTGAACTGCATGTGTGGCCCCGGCTTTGACATCACATATCCCATGATCCGCACCCTCGGATGTAGCCCTGGTACCTCCCCCCCCCCCCACCCCAAGTACTGCTGGATTCCAGCAGCACCACTTCATCAGGCCTGATTACTGAACCTGAAGGCTTGCAGGTCTGGGTTTAGAATGACCAGGAGGTTCCCCTGAGCACTTTTTGGTAAGTACCACAGAGGCAGAGGAAAAGAGAGATTGTAAAACAAATGAACCAGGGGACTGGAGCGATAGCACAGCAAGTAGGGCATTTGCCTTGCACGCAACTGACCCCGGTTTAAATTCCAGCATCCCATATGGTCCCCCGAGCACTGCCAGGAATAATTGCTGAGTGCAGAGCCAGGAGTAACCCCTGCACATCGCTGGGTGTGACCCAAAAAGAAAAAAAATGAACCAACTCCCAATCCTGATTAATTTGGGTGATCTCTCCTAACAACTCTGGGATCATGACTCTCCCACAGCCCCTCCATAAGGATTCTGGCTTCCTAACTGTGGGGTTACCCCTCATCCAAGAAGACCCAAACCCCCATTCTGGGGTTGACAGTCAGTCTACATGTTGTCCCCTCAAAACAGAGAATATAAGACATGGAATAAATCTGAGTTCTGGGGGTGAACATTTTCTCCCAAGGATGAAAATCTATAAGATTCTAGATCCTGAGAGAATTCAAAAAAAAAAAAAAGGCATGTTGTCCTTGAGATAAGTATTATTTTCTGGTGATCTGTAGATGTCCTGAAGCCTCAGGCTAGCTGCTTTCCTGAAGGGATGGAGGTCTCTCCACTCACAGTGGGGAATGGTGATGAGATGACAAGAATGCAGGGAGCCAGGGCATGCTCATACTTTTCAGACGCAGCCTTTGCCACGGCTGTGTGATCTTTAGTCCCACCTCACGGATTTATGATCCTCTAATGGGGAAACATTCTGTTCAACCACAGTTTTGAATGTCCAGGTACCAGCCTAGCTGTAATCATTTTTTAATTCCATATTTGTCTCTGCCGTTATTTGGAGAGAATTTCTAGCATGCTCCAGTCCCCATCCTAATATGTAGAAAGCTGATGGGTATGCACAAAGAAGGCAGACTCATAGCAAAGTAGCGCGATTCGAATATGTATTTTGCTACCTAACCTTTAAGTAGAGTAGATAAACCCTATCCAGCTACAGATACATACATGGAAAATAGATTATATTAAATTAGAATCACGTCATACTATTATAGTCATGCTAAGAATAACAAAAATCCTGGTAGCTACTGTTGACCTCATACCCTATCCAAGTATTCTGCACAAGTCACAGTGCATTTGATTCATTTACCCCCTACTCCATGGTTCCACGGCAGACCCTGAATCCCGGCACCTCTCAGGAGAGTACACAGAGGCCAGAGAGTGGGAACTCGCTGAAACTCACACAGCCCAGCAGGAATGCGACAGCAGCCCTGAGCGGCTCCTGGCCCCACTCCATCATTGTTCTCTGCGGGGCCTTCCCCAGACACGTTCCCTGGGCTGGAGCTCCGGTCTCCCGCTACGCCCATCTCTCTTTCTCTCTCTCTCTCTCTCTCTCTCTCTCTCTCTCTCTCTCTCTCTCTCTCTCTCTCTCTCTCTCTCTCTCTTCCTACAGCTGCAGTGGCAGCCCCAGGACCTAGAGTGTCTGTGTGCAACAGGCACAAGCACACCCAGAACCCAGGGCCATTACTGGTGTGTTGGGACAAACCAAACAAATGAAGGAAGGACGATCCTCTGTTGGCCTCAAGCCAAGAAGCACAGTCTTCTTTTCTGTTAAATTTTAAAATATTTGTATTGAAATAACATGGCATTAAATTATTTATATATATTCAGCTATTTCCAGTTTTAATGAGGCAGTGCATGTTCAGACTAAGAACTGCTTAAGTGGCGTGAGAGGTTTTTATTTGTGTGTGTGTGTGTGTGTGTGTGTGTGTGTGTGCGCGCGCGCACGTGCGTTTGTCCCCCAACCAGTCATCTTTGGGCTTTGTGGTAGAAAAAACTAGAATGTATATCTAAAGAGAGTATAATTCTTCATTATATCTTCCTCACCTGAACTAAATCAATACTCTGTAAAGTCACTTCCACCTGCATTCCCACATATACACCCTCTACACACACACACACACACACACACACACACACACACACACACACACACATCCCAGTTATACAAACTGGCATTTACTTCATGGAACTATTTAAATTACTTAAAATTAAATTAAAATAGAATTTCTTATTTTCCTTATTCTAGTATCCAAGGTCATAGGTGGCTCATGACGTCCATGTCTTAGCACAGAGATTATTATTATTTTTTTCAGTAGGATGTTCTTTCATTTTTAAAATATTTTTAAAAATTTTTTATTAGTGAAACACCATGAGGTTGTAGACTTACAAGTTTTTGTGCTTGGGTTTCAGTTATACAATGATCGAGTACCCATCCCTCCACCAGTGCCCAGTCTCCACCACCACTGATCCCAGTATCCCTCCCAACCTTCATCCCCCCATCCCACCCTGCCTCTGTGGCAGGGCATTCCCTTTTGTTCTCTCTCTCCTTTTGGGTGCTGTGGTTTGCAAGAGAGGCAGTGAGTGGCAATCATGTTTGGTCTATAGTCTACTTTCAGCATGCATCTTCCATCCTGGGAGGATCCTCCCAATACCCTTTACTTGGTGTTCCCTTCATATCTGAGCTGCCTTTTCCCCTAGCATGTTAGCACAGAGATTAACCATCCCAGCACAGAAGCTCCTATTGGGCTTCACTGTTCTAGAAGCTCAGAGCGCCTGGAGGCCATGGGTTGGAGAGAGCAGAGCCCAGGAGGCTTTATGAATTTTATAAATGTCAGCCCTCTTTTCCTCAGACGTATTTTATTTTTCTCTTTGGATCTTTATAGGAGAAGAAGACACTTAAAAGAAGAAAGAAACTGGAAAGGGAAACAAAGCAACTGGTCAAGCAAGCAGAATTGAAACGCCTTTATAAAGCACAGGTCAGAGGGAAAATAAATACTTAAGGGGTGAGCAGGGCTGGGGCACTGGCACCAAGAGGGTAGTGTATGTGGGATTGGAGTGAGTGCTGGGCAACAACAGTCCCTCTTTCCTGAGCAACCAGGTCCAAGCTGTTCCAGAGGCCCTTATGAGCTTCATGGGGCCTGGGACCTGGAGGGCCTAGTGTGGAATGAGTCACAGCCCTCACAGCCCCCCTGTAGGCCTGGGTCCTGCCCAGGCACTGAGATGCAGTCTGACTCCAGCTTCATAGCAAGGGCTTTTGTCCAGTCCTGGTGAAAGCAGACCCTGATTCCTGACCACGTCCTTACTAAGCTGACAGTGACTCTGCCCCCTCTAGTTCAAGATGAGTTGAAAGCAGAAGGATCCAAGGATCCTGCCTTCTGATACCGATTCCCAAGTCTTTTGTTCACTGATATGTTTCTGCCCAAGATGACCTTGCCCACTCTGCCACAGATGGGCCACATGGAGCTGAAAGTTGGGCATTCTCACTCTCCTCTGGCCCTCAGACCAGCCACAGAGAACATGGGGGTGAGGACAGAATGTAGAACAACCACTTGCATTAGCCTAGTGTGCTCTTATATCCCTTTGTCCACTTGTCCAATGATGTCCTGTAGGTTGTTTCCGACCAAAAGAAAGCCCCCCAGTCTACCCATAAAGAGACTGAGTTAGGGGTCACCCCTTCCACCAACATACAGGGAACCTTTCCAGAACCAACCTCTGCTCACTCTTGAGTTGGGTTGATGTGATGGGGTCCCCCCAAGCAGGGAGCACCCCTCCCAGCAATTCTCAGTCATCTGGGTCAGACACTCATAGTCATGACCCGGAATGTGGTGATGCCAGGCTACATGGTACCAGGGGTGACCTTTGCCCATGCTGGTGGTACTTGGAGCCTTCTAGGTTGTAACCAGTAGATGCTCCAGAAACCACACAGTATCAGACGAAACTGGGGTTAGCAATATGCAAGGCTAACCTATTAACCCCTGTACTATCTCTTCAGCCCCATTTCCTTCTGAGACCAAGCCTGAATCTTTGTCATGTGGATTGGCAAACCCACCTATTGGCTCTCTTCACTTTTCCACTCCAGACATAGGTGGAATGAAAGAACTAGAATAACCTTTGGGTCCTAGCCTGTTAGCCTCCATATCTTTAAGGTGTTCACTTTAATTCTCTATATTTTTTGAAGGGGGCTTGGGCCACACCCAGAAATGCCAGGGGTTACTCCTGGCTCTGCAATCAGGAATCTGGTGGGCTCAGAGGACCATATGGGATACTGGGAAACGAACCCAGGTTGATTGCATGCAAAACAAACGCCTTATCTACCCCACACTGTGCTATTGCTCCAGCCCCTCACCTCAGTTCTCTAAACAATGGTGACTACAGCTGATAGCCCAGGCTTCCATCCCAGCAGGCCATATACTGGGCTACTGTCCTGGAGGCTGGGCATTCAAGATCCAGGATTCCTTGGAGTTGGGTCTAGGGCTTCTCATCCTGACTTTCACCAGCTGCCTGCCCCAGGTCCTCCTGTGGCCTGTGCCTGTGTCCACACAGAGGGAGATCTCACCAGCGTCTGATCCCCCCATAAAGTCCTCATGTAGTTTTCATGAATTATGGCTTCACTGAACCCAAATTACTTCCTTTGATTGCCTCCACATACAAATACAGACTCATTGGGGCCAGAGAGACACTACAGAGTGTAGGATACTGCCTTGCATGTAGTTCACCTGGATTCCATCCCTCACATAGCATATGACCTGCCAATGCCCCACCAGGAGTAACCTCTGAGCACACCACCAGGTGTGTCCCAACCCCTCCCCCACAAACACCACCAACCACCAACAAAACACAATCACTGCTGGGGTTGGGGGGAAACCAGTCAGCCACAATCACAGCCCTCTGGAATAAGATCACTTCAAAGTCTTCCTTCCTTTAGCAATTCAATCCCATGCCAGCAAGAAACAAGCCTATAAAAATCGAATTGTCACATTATGAGGGAGACAGAGAGGAAGAGAGCAGGAAACTAGGAGTAGTTGGAGAGTCCAATCTGCTTCTGCTTTTGTGTTTGGGACTTTACAAGATCTGAACCAGGACATGCCAAGCCTGGGGCTGCTCTATCCCTGCTCAGACTTCTCACGGGCTGGCCTGTGTTTGGAAATTATACCCCTAAATCCAGGCAGGAGCCCCAGATGAGGGTGGGGTAAAGGAGGAAGAGGCACAAGAGTGCTGAGTGAGGAAGAGGAGGAGGCAGGCACCTGTTCTACCTGCCCAAACAGCTCCCAGCTTTTCACAGGTCTGGGCTACCAGGTGCAAGGTCCATTCTGCCAAGAGACATGCCTTTTGGCAGCCCAGTATTTGAAAACAGACAGTGCTGGTATGGATGAACAAAGCTGGTAAAAGGGCTGGAGAGAGAGTAGAGCAGGTCAGTCACTTGCCTTGCAATGCAACTGACCTGGATTTGGTCCCTGGCACCCCATCTGATTCCCTGAGTACCACCAGGAATAAACCTGAGCACAGAAACAGGAGCAAGCTCTGAATATTGTGGAGTGTGGCTCAAAAACAACCTCCCCAAAAGAAAAAGTTAAAAAAATTAATAGAAGAGTGGTCTTCCAATGGTTTTTCTTCCCCAAAATATACCAGTGAGAACTAGCTAGGAGAGGACAATGGACAGGTCAGTGCCAACGAGGCGGGGAGGGCCTGAACAGCTTAAGCAGGAAGGGATGAGGCTGTCCCTAGAGGCTGTGAACCTCTTGTGTCTGGTCTTAAAACCTGCTGTTATTAATAACAAGCCATCATGCGCTTGTGCCGTCAAAGGCCCCTGGGCCTAAGTCCCAGGGTGCAGATGCTTAGGTCAGCCACAGGACAGACAGAGGAAGGCCTCCAGCTCCAGGGCTGGAGATGAGGAGGCATCTGTTGGTTCATCCTGGTAAGAGGGGATGCTCACATGTGTGTGCGTGCCTCCAAGCCTTGGCCCTACTCTGAGGGTAAGTGTAACTCCCTGGACTATCCCAGGGGTGCCATGAGTAGAGTTAGAGACTGAGGCTCCCTGTGGCCTAGAATCCAAGGGGACTGCTCACATGAGGGCACAGGGCTGAGGTCAGCTGGGAGACAGTAGAGCTAACATAGACCCTTGTCTTCGGATTTCTCACTGAAGAAGGGAAACAACAGGATTGTGTGCTTGGGGGAGTCAGACATCCTCAGAGGGATCCCTGGTGTGACTCTGGGTGTTGAAATTCCCCGTGTGACTCCTGGGCCTTGGTTACAGGACATCCAGAGGCAGTTGGAGGAGGTGGAGGAGAAGCAGAGGGCATTGGAGATCCAGGGCGTGTGGCTGGAGAAGGCGCTCAGAGGAGAAGCAGGTAGGTGACCCCATGGAGGATGGGGGTGCAGTGGGCTTGGGCTTCAAGGCAGTGCACTGAGAAGAGGACCAGGCCACCGCTCTGGGCAGAATGGTGAGACCTTGTCACCCTTTCTGGGTCTGTTCCCATGGACCTGTGGGAGAAAAAGATCCCTAAATGCCTCAACTTTTCAAACTCAAATGAGTCTTTCAATATGGAATTCCTTTGAGACCCGTGGAGCTATGGGGTCTCCAGCTCACACTTGCTGGCTGAATGCCCTTGGCCAAAGGTTTGGCTAAATTCATGAGCTGGAGTTGGACATGTGAGCAGTGTGAGGAGTCACTTAAAACCTGGACTTGGTATCAAGGTCGTGGTCTGTCCTTTTACTTGCTATAAAACATTGGGCTGGAGCAATAGCACAGCGGGTAGGGCATTTGCCTTGCACACAGCCAACCCGGGTTCGATTCCCAGCATCCCATACGGTCTTCCCGAGCACTGCAAGGAGTAACTCCTGAGTGCATGAGCCAGGAGTAAATCCTGTGCATTGCTGGGTGTGACCAAAAAAGCAAACAAACAAACAAAAAAACATTGGGTCAATGACAGTTCAAACCTTCACCAGCTTTTGTTTTCTCCTCTGAAATGAGGATAAGAGTGTTGTTGTCCTGCTTATGATAGACGCATCAACAATGAAATTCTGTAGGATGCTCATGTCGCTCATGTGGGAAGAAAGAAGCAGTTCCTCTTCCACCAGAATCTCAGACTCCAACGGAATTAACATGGTGAAGACCTGCTGTGGGTGGGACATGAGAACACAGAATGTGTAAGACACTTAGACACAGTGTCTGCCTCTGAGGATTTATGGTCCACGGAGGGACACACTGCAGAACTGAACAAAGTGAGGCCTGAAGCAATAGTACAGCGGGAAAGGCTCTTACCTTGCACATGACTGACCCAGGCTCTGTGATCTCTGGCACCACATATGGTCCCTTGATTGTTGCCAGGAATCCACCCTGAGTGCTGAGCCAGGAGTAAGCCCTAAGCACTGCTGGGTGTGGCTCCCAAGACAAAAACAAAGTTCAGTCCTCCAAGACTGAGGACATTCAGTCTGAGCTGTGAGAGTAAGGCGTGTACCTCAGGCGGGCACCTGTGGGTCCCAGGGAGAGCCTGTGGGGTTCATTTGTCTCTGGGTATTGGAAAAGCATGGGAATCTGACCCCCAGCCTACCACCCCAGTTTCCTTGTTTTTAAAGTGAGAGTATTCATCATCTCTGTCTCGTGGCTTTGTGGAGAGAGTTGGCTAAAACCACTTATGGGCAACCCCCAGACAGCGCCTGGCCTGGGATAGATGGATGATAAATATGTGTTCCTCTCTTCGGAAAATATACAGTGCATTTCCTTGCCCAGCTCACCCAAACCCACCCTCTTGGAGGCGGCTTCATGACAAAAATGACAACTGTCTTGTCACTGTGTGGAGAGAGAGAGAGACAGTGCTCTGTGGCTCGTGTTGGGACTTTCAGGACAATGACCTGCCTTTGTTGAATGTTTGGTTGTGCCGGGCTGTCGATCCAGAAGGCTCTGGTACTTGTCATAAGGAATCTGCTGGATTTTGGCGAGAGCCTTAGCAATGAACAGGATGAGCCGACACAGTGAGGGCATGTTTGTGTGCTGGAGAAGCAGTGGGCTATGGAGAGGCAGCAGAGTTAGCAGCGTCAAAGAGCCCTGTGTGCAGATTCCCTTCCTCTGTGTTTGGGTTGTGTGTCCTGGGGAAGTGAGCCGAACTTCCCTGGCCCCAGATTCTTCTTGTTTGTTTTCTTTCTGTGGCACTGGGGACTCAACCCTGAGTCCTGGCATAAGTGAGGCGCGGGCTCTTACACCGCATCATGCCCCTGGCTTGGTCTCTGAGGCTTGATCTGAAAAATGGAGCAAATCATCTCCACATTATCAGGTCATCTTGTGAATGAGGCTATTGATGTGCAAAGTGTCTCCCAGTGTGTTTATCATTCAATAAAGGTAACCTGGTATTGTTGCACAAACTGTTTTTAAATATCCTCACACGGACCCTTAAAACCATTGCCTCTAATTATGACTGCTTGAAATTTATATGAGAGAAATCAAATTCTTAAAAGCTTCTGAAAATATTTCCTCAGCTCCAAATAAAAGGCTGAAAGACTGAAAATCAGCTTGGGGTGTTTTCAAAGGTGCACTGGGCAGACGGAAGATGGATTCCATTCATTCCCCTTATATCCTTGGTAATTTAATTCCCCTGTTAAGTTTATGGGTCGTTTTCTCTTTGATTGTCCTTGGGTGGCTGACAGAGGCAGAGGAACCAGGGGCAGGAGACTAAGAGAGTGAAGTCAGGAAGAGGGGCCCCAAAGGCACCCAAATGGAAGATTTGCAAACAAGCATCAAAATGAATACACTGGCACTTGTAATAACATTTGTGCAATAATGCTATTCCTCTGTGGTTTCATATTCTATTCAGCCCCTTTAAGAGATTGTCCTGGTGCTTAATGAATGACCAATGCTTATTAGGTTAAGTCGTATTTGAGCTGGCCTGTGCTGCTCTGGTTCAAGTGATTTAATGGGAATTATTTAATAGGTATTATTAGGATAATTAGAAAATGATCACAGTTGGGCAATAATATTGAGCTATAAAGGTTGTGAATAACCAAATTTAGAGCCGGGCCTGAAAACATGAGTAGTCGGCGACAGTTATACAAGTCTTCTCTAATAATTATGTGAGCCAGCCTGAAAGGGTCTTTTGTTCCTGGGAGTTATTCATTAGGCGGGCATTGAATTAGAGGAACATGCGGGGGTGCCGGACGAAGGGCAATGATGGCTGATGAGCAAAATGAGGCTTTGATGAGCTCCTAATTGTCGTGACAACAATTCCTGCTTTCTTCTTTTCCAACAGTCAGAAATAAACTCTCCCACACTCAGGAAGGGATTTTTACCATTTTGCTAAGGAGAGGGAAACAAAGAAAAACAAGGAGCCAACAACACACCCTCAGATGACAAGACATTGTATTTGTAGAGTGAGGATATATGCGTGTGTGTGTGTGTGTGTGTGTGTGTGTGTGTGTGTGTGTGTGTGGTAGGAGGCATGGCGGGGCATGGGAGGTGAGAAATGGATGGTTGTCCTTGACAAAGGAAATGATTGCCTGGGTGTTCCTGGTTACCCAGAGTAAAAGTCCAGGATTTACAGGGATCTGATTGCTCCAGGTCCCTCCTTCTGTCAGTAGACCAGGTTAATTTATGTTGCTCAAGGCTTGGTTACCTACTGGTTTGTTGGTCAATGTTGTTTGCCAGGCCAGGGAATCCCTCAGTATAGAAAGAAACCACCTTTTAGAATAAAAATTTCTGACTAGCAACTGGAATGCGGGAAAGAGGTAGAGGTCGTGCACGTATGAGGTCCTGATTCCTTCCCTGGCATCCACCCCACCTCCTAATAAAGCTATGTGAGACAGCCTAGAAACCAGAATCTGTGCTGTTTTTCAATACCCCGAGATAGGTGAAATTTGATGCCAGCAGAGTATAGTTTCAGAAAAAGGGTTTATCCTCTCTCCTGGGGCAGGTGTGTGGGACTTACTCGTGTGAAAATTATTCATCCCTTAGTTTTACCACTTGGGGATATTTTACCAGCTGGTTGTTTGCATTGAGCTTCTTTTTCCTTTCTGTTCATTTTTTAAAAAAATTTTATTGAATCGTGTTTTTAAAGAGTGATGGCTTCTCCACAAAGATAAAAGTTGATTTGCAAAGAAAGAGCTGGATGCGTAAGGCCACCAGTAGGTGGCAGCAGACACACACATCATGGCGAGAATTTTTGATGAAAACCGAGACAGGAAATGGGAAGTAGTTTGGTTTATACGCTGTGGTTTGCATCTTGACCACTGCTGAGGAACAGAAGGCCTAATAATTTCCTGGATATTGTAACAGTGATGTGTGCTGAAAAGAATTCAAATAGTAAAATCACTCCTGACTCTGAATCCCCGTGCCTTTAATAGGAAAACAAATAAAAACACTGTTCTCCCGTTGTTCATCGATTTGCTCTAGCAGGCCCAGTAACGTCTCCATCTTGAGGCTTGTTGTTACTATGTTTGCCATATTGAATATGTCAGGGTAGCTTGCCAGGCTTTGCTGTGCGGGCGAGATACTCACCTGTCTCTGCTGGGCTGGCTGCTTGCGAGGCAAACACCCTACCACTGTGCTATTGTTCCAGCCCTTAATAGGGAAGGGGCAGGAATAATACCCTAAAGGGGAAGAAGAAGAAATTCCCCCAAAATTCAGACTCCCAAAGTAATGGTTAAGAAAGCTAGGAGTTTGAGCTGGTTTGCTACAACTCTGTAATTCCCTTACAGTCAGACAAACCTCAGTTTGAGTAACAATGCAATAATTACACAAGTACTTATCTCCGTCAAACATTTTCGTTTGTGGGGCCGGAGCAATAGTACAGCGGGCAAGGCCTTTGCCTTGCACATGGTTGACCCGAGTTCGATTCCCAGCATCCCATATGGTCCCCTGAGCACCGCCAGGGGCGATTCCTGAGTGCAGAGCCAGGAGTAAGCCCTGTGCATCACCAGGTGTGACCCAAAAAGAAAAAAATGTTTCATTTGTAAATGAGGCTAATAATATCAAACTCATAGGAGTGGTATGAAGTAAAGAATAAGCAAAATAATGTTAATAAAGCGAGAGTTTCAGACATAGAAGATTAATTCCTTCTCCCCAACCCCACTTTTGTTTGAGAACTACACCCATCTGTACTCAGTGCTTACTACTGGCTCTGCACTCAGGGATCACTCCTGGCAGGCTCAGAGGACCATATGGGATGCCAGGAATTGAACCCGGGTTGCCAAGTGCAAGGCGAGTGCCCTACACACTGTACTATCTCTCCAGAGCCTCCTTCCCATTTTTTTACATATTCCTATCATAAAACACAACTGGATGGTCAATGATATCTCAGATTGAATTTATTTGTTCATACATTCACCAGCACTATAGCACTGTCCTCCCATTGTTCATCGA